CATGTGAAAAAGTTACCTGTTGAGAATTTCAGAATCTTATCCTCTAAAGTTTTAAGTTGTTAGACACTTCCGTTTTTTTACTTTTAGTGGCTTAAGGAGGTCTTTAGTTTATTTGTAATGTGTTATTTCTGAAGGAGCAGTTGTTAAAGAAATGGTCATTTTGCAAACCTCAGTGGCTTCATGTGTTTTTGTGTTTTTTATTTGTTTGTTTGAGACAGGGTCTCCCTGTAGCCCCAGCTGGCCTGGGACTCACCGTAGACCAAGCTGACCTCAAGCTCACAGGTCTGCCTGCCTCTGTCTCCGAAGTGCTGGGATTAAAGGCTGCGCCACTGCACCAGGCTCTATTTTTGCCTTTTTTTTTTTTTTTTCTTCAGACTTCTTGCTTCCCTCGGTTTTCAGGGATCCCAGGAGAGGTAATTAAGGCATTAAATGTCTTCCATGATGAGTGGGACACTGTCCTGTGCTGCCTAGACTGCCCACACTTGCTTATACCTCCAGAATCTGAGTGTGCTCTAAGTGCAGTTTTTATAGGTTCTTAGTCTTTGATGAAAATAACTTTGGTAATATCTGATTCTCGGCAAGTCTTCTTACCCAGAACTGTCTGTCCCAAACCAGCAGGAATTAAGGCATCTTAATGAATTTAGAAGCTTCTGGAATGTGAGGTGTTAGACTTAACTGATGATAAATGAACAATGTAAATACATATGTGGGTACCTGAGGGAAACAAGGAGGGCAGGGGAGCAGTGGGAGCAGAACAGCCCTGCATGCTTTGGACTGGAGACCATGACGCCTAAGAGCCATCGTAGTTTTTCTCTGCCAGGAAATAATTAATGTCCAGGAGAGTTGAGTCAGACACAGAATTTCAACCCAGACTTGGTGATCCAAAAACTGCTAGAAAATCCTTGAAAAGTATTACACATGTGTTATGTACACTTTGGAGGCATGTGTTGTTGAGTGCTGGGTCCTCTGTTCTGTTAATCCATTTGCCTCTCTCAGCTGTGTGCTACAGATCAGCCGAGTAGGTTAGGTTGTGAAGTGTGGCAACTTGGACATAAAGGACACTTAACCAGAGCATTTAGGTCTGTGAAGTGATGCCGCTATGCTAGCAGAATCCACCTGCCACTTCTGGTCTCCCTTCCCTTCTCAGTGGCCTGTTCTCTTAACAGTCACCTGAGGGGACAGAGAATTGCAGGAAGAGGGGTCAGGGAGACAGCGGTGGAAGAGGCTGACACAGGATCCAGGCTAATGGGGCCATGAGAAGAAGCCGAGACCCTAAAACTCACAGATTTGAACTAATAACAGTTGGAATGAGGTCAGCCTGTTTGCACTAAGCTCCACATACTAAAACCAGAATTGCTTCCCCAAGACTGAATTGATAAAGTAATTAATTAAGAAAAGAGAATGTGATTATTCTCATCACTTTAGAGCCTAAAGGAACTCACTCTTGGGATAAATCTTTCAATTAAAAATATAAAACATGATCCCTAATTAAAGTGATGTTGCTGTTTATTGTCCCTGGATGCTTTGACATTATTGTGAAGAGAATTTTTATAGGTGAATGAAAACTTAGGCTTTTTATGACTGTTCACCAATGGGTAGCTCACGGCAAAATTAATTTCAGCCTGTTGCTGGTCTCTTACCTCGAAGTCAACCACGCATTGAGACCTTCTGCAGTGCAAGGACAGCTGTCACCAAGTCTGTTGTTTTTTCTTAAGTTAGTAAGGCAGCCGGGTGTGGTGGTACATGTCTTTAATCCCAGCACTTGGGATGCAGAGGCAGGCGGGTCCCTCAGGTACCCACACACACACATATATATATAATATAAAATTTGTATTTTATGTGGGAGTGTATTGCCTGCATGCATGTAAGTGCACCCGTGTTGTGCAGTGCCCAGGGAGGTCAGAAGAGGGTGTTGAATTCCCCTGGAACTGGAATTATGGACAGTTGTTAGCCACCATGTGGGTGCTGGAATTGAACCCAGGTCCTCTGCAGGAGCAGCCAGTGCTCTTAACCACTGAGCCATCTCTCTAGTCCCCCTCAGAAGCTTTTGATGAAGTTCAAATAAGTTGGCACTTGAGCAGTGTCACCAGAGCTCTGGTGTGTCTTGGCTACGTCACGTCCTGAAACTGCCATCAACAGCACTCTGGTTCTAGCTGGCTAAGCTCCAGGCACTTTGAGCAGCACTGGCGCTGCCTTTGGACTGGAAGTGTCATGGGCCTTTCTCTTTGTTTACCTCTTTGTCAAATTTATTTGCTTATTGTTTGTTTGTTGAGACAGGGTCTCCCTGTAGCCCCAGCTGGCCTGGAACTCACTAAGTAGACAGGCCTTAATCTCACTGAGATCTGCCTGCCTCTGCCTCCTTCCTGGGTGCTGGGATTAAAGGTGTGCACCACCACACCTGGCTTTTTATCACTCTCCTGATCATAGCCAGCACCTTTTATGGAAAGCCAAGGAATGTGTCCGGTGGAGGAGCAGGGACAGACAGGAAGACTACAGGTGGACAGGAGGACTGTGAGCGCCTCCTGGGCTCTTGCGTTGGCTGTGCCTCTGAGCCTGGGGCCAGCTTCAGAAACCTTGAGTTCTGCCTCTTAGAACAAATAGTCCTCATAGGGATCCAGATGAAGTCAGGGTCATCTTTCTGGTATCTTCATGACTGATTCTGAAGGTCAGCAGAGGTTTAGAAACAGACCAGTCAGTCTGGAGGTTCCAGGTGCTGCTGCTATGCAGTACTGGAAAGAAGATACCATGTTCTTTAACCTTTAGGTCTGAGCCATTTGAGAGACCAAAAAGTTCCAGTGCCTTTCAAAGTCCCTTTTTTCTGTAGTCCCAAGTTCATCTCCCTCTGAAATATATTTATTGCTGCTGCTGTTGCTATTGCTGCTGCTCCTCTTCCTCCTCCTCCTCTTCCCCCTTCTCCCCCCGCCCCCCAGCATTTTAGTAAAGGGAGGAAAATGGGCATAGCCAGGCATAGCAGATTTATTGGAACGCTGGCATTTTCCCTGTTCTGGGGGAGCACAGGCAGCCCCACCCTGAATGCCGTTTTCATCTCGGGAAGGAGAGCCGCATAGTGAAGGATTTCCTTGGACTTCTGGGTGCTAGCGGAGGAGAGATGGGCATCACACCCTTTTTATCCTCAGATCTGCCCCTTATAGCAGAGCCCATTCTGCCAGTGCTGAGACCCTGTCTGTGGACAGTGAGGCTGGGAACAGGTGGCCTGTGAAGTTCCTTAGTCTGCCTTGGATGAAGGGAATGGGGAGCTGTGGTCTCTCAGCTCTCATGACCTCACAGGCCCGTACCATGCTCTGCTGTGTAGTCTGAACCTGTCCTGTGTTTACATTCAGTCTTGGGATGTGAGGCAGGGAGGGTTATTGCTGCTATTGGTCTCAATGGTAGCATTGTATACAGGAGTGCCAGCCGGGACACACTACCCGGGAGCTCACAGAGCCCCAAGTGTGCCTCGGGGAAGTGACACCCACTTCAGTTGTTACTGAATCATTGTGCATCACACAGCCTGGGTACTGACTGCACATCAGCCGCTCAGTTTTCTGAGTGTGGCTGTGTCAGCTGCCAGACAGGGAAGAGGGCCTAAGACTACATTTATCCTCAACTGAAGTAAGTTGTCTTCAGAACATCCTTGTGTGAACTTGACACTGTGCACAGAGTGTGTGGCTTCTCTTCCTCTGAGACCCTCCAGTTATTGACGTTAGTGTTCAGGCACCTGACTGGGACACCACAGGGCACTCAAAGCCACAGCCTTTCAGACAGGTCAAGTTCGAACGCTAAAGACAGTAACAGAACATTAACGTCTGTAAAGAGCGTAGATCCAGCATAGGCAGGGCTTCAGTTCTTAGTGTCCGTTTTGTTTTCTGTCTTTCCTAATGAGTGCTATACATGGTACCATTTTAAAAAATGTCATCAAGTGCTGAGCAGTTTCCTCAGGAACACGGGCATCTCGGAGGTGAATACAATCCAGATCATTTAGAGCTTGTTGATTTTATGATCAGTCCTTAGATTGTTACTAAAAGCAGATAGGTACCTAATCCATGTGGGAACCTGGAGGCCGCCCCCTCAGTCCCTCTTTGAGCATCTGGGGACTGGCCATTTCCACTGTGTTCTCAGCAGTTTCTCAGGACAGCCCCTGTTAATCACTGGGGTCATTTATGTGCTGAATGTTCGCTCAGACTAATATTAAACACTGTTATTAAAGCTTAGAGAAAAAGCAGCCAGAGTGATTATCACAGGATAAGGGAATTGAAGATCTGATCACAGTGCGGGGCTCAGTGCCAGAATTCGGGTGCGTAGAGACAGCTGCTCCTGGCAAGGAGGCCCCTTCTAGTCCTAGCCCACTAGTTCCTTGGCCCCAGTTGAGATACAGAAATGGTGAGGGGCATCTTCAGCCACAAGAGCAGAGGTGGCCTCAGAAGGAGACCTCAAGGGGCGTTCCCCTCCAAGAGAGCAGTGTGATCAAGCCTCCCATGTCACAGAGGCGGCAGGATGCAGTAGCCGGATATTGGGATAGGTGTGACAGTAGACTATAGGTTATGCAGTGGAGAGATGTCTGCCGCAAAGACTTATCATGAGGGGATTTAACCCTGTAAGCATATGCAAGCACAGATTATGAGCCAGACTTGTTTATCCTATAAAGATACAACATACAGCTTTAGCAATATTAACAGGGTTTTTTCCCCCCTGGAATGTCATCTTTTTTGTTAATTGATTAATTTGAAACATTTTGTTAATTGATTAATTTGAAACAAAATGACTGATTTTTGTCCTTAACAGGGCCGATGGGAAAGTCAACAGGATGTATCCCAAACACTAGTTTCCAGAGGAATAGCTTCAGGCCCCCCAGCTCTCTCTGTCTCTCCCCCAAATAACCACTCGCCAGATCCTGGTAAGTTCTTCTTTCATCTGTCAATCATCACCATGAAATCTGAGCATCTTTCTAAAGAAAGTTTAGTCAGGGTGCCTACTGCTAGGTATCCACAGTCGCCTCGTGTCCATCTGAAGTGGTGCCCTTTGTCTTCATGTGTCGGGTGACACGGGGTTTGGAAGGGTACTTCACCCAAACTCCTCTGAGAAATCACACTCTGAGCTTGTTACTCTTCATTGCTCTTTACCAACATTTGTTCCGACTTTTTGTGTGCACTCTGGGCAAACGTCTGTCATTGTTTCTTTCCCCAGACTCAAGTCTGTTAGGTCTTGCTGTCGTGATTGTGTTAAACCTCATGAAATGAGTTGGGAATCTTATCTCTTCACAGGGTGATGTATGGTTGGTAGCATTTATTCCTTAAATGTTTGACAGTTACCCAGCAAAGCTGCCTAGGCTGGAGTTTTCTCTGTGGTCTGTGGGGAGACTTTATGATTTGAGGGTTATTTTGGCTTTTTTTTGTTTAGCCCCATCTGGCTTGAACTCACTATGTAGACCAGGCTAACCTCAGTCTCACAGAGATCTGCCTGCCTCTACCTCTTGAGTGCTGGAATTGAAGGTGGAAACCACCACACCAGGCTGACTTGAATTTTGTTTAAGGTGGGATGATTAGATTTTTGTGTTCCTCATGAGTCAGCTTTCATAAGTTGTATTTTTTATTTCATCTAGATTTTACTTTGCTGTTCTTTAAAGTGTTATAGAACCTCTTGTGTAGCTCCTCCTTTTCTATTCTGACGGTAATTACTCCCTCCCTTCTCCCTTTTCCTGGCCTCACATTCATGGCAATCCTCCTGCCTCGGCTTCCCAGAGCACTGGGATAATAGATGTGAGTCACTGTACCTGTCTGCTGCTTCTTTTTCTTTTAAATATGTGTGTATGGGTTGCATGCATGTACATGTGTGAGCGCATGTGTGTGCATGAGTACATTGAGGCCAAAATTTGTGTGTGGGCTGCATGTGTGTACATGTGTGAGTGCATGTATATACACGAGTATATGGAGGCCAGAATGTATGTGTGGGCGGTATGTATGTGTGTGAGTGCATGTGTGTGTACAAGCATATGGAGGTCAGAATGTGTGTGTGTTGCGTGTGTGTACATGAGTGAGTGCATTTGTGTGCACGAGTATATGGAGGCCAGTGGGCAACCTCACGCCTCACAGGAAGACTGGTACCTTTTCTTTGAGATGGTGTCTCTCATTGGCCTGGAACTTGGTCAAGTAGGCTAAACCAGCTGGCCCATGTGCTCAAGGGATGTGCCTGTCTCCACCTCACACCTCTCTGTTGCTGGGATTACATGCATATTTCACTCCTTGCTTATTACATGGATGCTAGAGATTGAACTCAGGTCCTCACCTTTACCAGCTGAGCCATCTCATCTTCTCAAAAGGCTGTTTCCTTAGATAGAGAGTTCTGGGTGGCTGGCTTTTGTTGGTTTCTGTGCTTCAAGACGATCCTTCCTCTTTGGGGTCTCCTCTGCTGAGAACTCAGTCATCTTCGATCACTTCCCCCAAAGTGTCGAATCTTTGATTACTGTCAGCTCTGAGTCTTTCCTGGTCTGTGCTTCTGGTAGTTGTGCATGAACCACTGGCGCAGGGAGTTGATTTGTTCTACAAATCTGAGAAATATTCAGCCAGCTTCTGAGACTCCAGTTGCACACAGACTAAATTGTGCAGTGTCACCTGCAGGTCAAAGGGACACTGTGCTTTTCCTAATTTTAACCTGAAAAGAAACTCATGTGTTCTGGTTAGATAATTTCTTCTGTTGTTTCCAGTGTTGAGCCCATCCAATGAATTTTTTATTTCAGTTATTGTTCTGTCCAATTCTAGAATTTCCCTTTGCTGCTGCCTTAGCAGTTTTAATTCCTCTGCTGATATGTCCTGTCTGTTCCTTTGTTAAGAATATGTTGTTCTTTGTATCCTTGGACTTACTTATAAAAGCTTTCTGTAAGACTGTAAAGTTAAAGACCTATTTTTATTGACTTTTTCTTGACTGTGCATCATATTTAGTGAGTTGTGTCAAGTTGTGTGTGTGTGTGTGTGTGTGTGTGTGTGTATACCCACTCCTGTTAACTTACACCCTAATTAGTATATGTGTAACACTGACATGACATGACTGCAGTAGATTCTGCCTTAATTGCCAGCAAGCATTGTGATCTCTTATACAGACTTCTGTGACTGCCTGTGACTGGAGCCCCGAGGCAGGCGCTGGCTGGTTCGTGCTGTCAGGAATTACTTTCTTGCAGCTCTATTCATTCTAGCCATTTTGCTTGTATGTGTGTTTGTCTCCTGTACTGTTGTCAGCATCAGTAGTTTATTCTTCTTTTTTAAAAATTATTTATTATTTTTATTTTATGTGTATGAGTGTTATGCTTGCATGCAGGTAAGTGCAGCTGTGTCGTGCAGTGCCCGAGGAGGTCAGAAGAGGCTGTCGGATCCCCTGGAACTGGAATTACAGACAGTTGTTAGCTGCCATGTGGGTGCTGGGATTTGAACCCGGGTCTTCTGCAGAGAACAATGTTCTTAACTGCTGAGCCATCTCTCCAGCCCCTGTAGTTTATATTCTTTTTTATCACTGAGAAATGCTTTGCTCCCACAGTTGAATGTGTCACTGTGCCTGCCCAGTACCCCTGTTGGTGGAGATTTGCTGTTTTCCAGTTTCGTGCCACTATGAACTAAGGTTATGCTTCTATTTGTGGATATTTTTCTTAGTAAGTACTTAGGAGTTGAATCACTAGGTTCTAGAGTACTTACCAGCTAGTTTTAAATTCCCTAAACATGGCGGTGTCTTCACAGTTAGAGTCAGAGATGATTGATTTGCAGGCTTTGTTTTCCTGGTCGTTGGTTCCTGCGTCTCATCCTGTTCTGGATTTAGGTCAGTTTGTATTGAGTGACATCCATTTTCTGTGCTTGTAGCAGTTGTCTTTAGTGACAGACTGTTTAATAAGGAAGTTTTTGTTTTGCTCTTACTTTGCAAACCCTTCTACCATGGGAAATGCCCAAAGTAGAGAAAGTAAGATCACGCCCTCAGGTGCCCACCCCGGGTTCCAGCGCCAGCTCAGACATCTGACTCTCCCACGCTCCCGGCTCTTTCTTCACTTGGTTGGCCCTTGTATGCAGTCTTGTGTGGTTACTGACTGGCTCCTGTTGAGGTACGGATCGTCCTCACCCTGGGGTGATGGGGAACCTTTGTAGAGCTCCAGATTGTCCACGGAGGCTTTCCTCGCAGCATAGAGGTGGTTCTGTCCTTCTCTTACTCACCTTCAACTTTATTTTCTGCTTATATCTGTTTTACTTTCTTCCTGTGATTTTCTTCTTAAATTATTTGGCTTTTCTGAACTCTGTTGAAATACATTTCTTGACACCGGGGCCATCTCTGCCCTATCTTCTGTGACTGCTCTGGTGATTGTAGTACACATCCTGAACTGTCACAGCTCATACTGTGCTGCTACTTGATGTAAACTGTAGAAACCTTACAGCCATGTGGGTCCACTCATCAACTGCTTTGCTGGTGGTGGTGTGCAGTCAGGGTTGGGGTGGCTTGTCACCTCTGGTCAGACACAGCATGCACATTCCTCAGGGTGACCTGCTTGTTCATTTTTCAGCTACTGTGTGGAGATGGTGTTTTATCATTTACGATGTAGATTCAGTTTTCCTGTGGATTAGGAAGGGTGTCACAGGTACTGTCTGCACTTCTGATCCCAGCCTTTGGTAATTCACACCAAACAACCGTCCCTCCTTTTGGAAAATAACACCCTCCTTTCCCAAAGGTGAGGGTCAACATCTTCATTCAGGAAATAGTTATGAGAAATTACAGTTGAGAACATGTTGTCTCCAATAAGCATGGAATCTATATAGAGAGCTTTACCTGGATTATATTGTCACATGACTCAAAAACCCAGACCCCAGTGGGTGTGATGGTGCAGGCCTGTAGTCCTAGCCCCTGGGAGACTGAAACAGGTGATCTCTTGAATTCTGGGTCAGCCTGGGCTATACAGTGAAGCCTGGTCTCAAAAAACCAACCAAACAAAAGCCAAATCAAGCAAACCCAAACCCAGCCCTCTTTCACTCTACAGCAGAAGTTGGCACTTCTGTCCATTCTTGGCAGGAGTGAGGGTGGCCCCCTCTGATACTGGCAGGGACCTTGCATGTTTAAAACATTTTTTCAGTCCCTATTGCTATTGAATTGGTACAGGATGACTATGTCCTTTTCCAATAGCAATATTTTGAGCTCCTTTTACAATTCTGTGTTGCTAGACGTGCTTGCCTATGACACTTGGCAGATGGTGAGGAAAACATGTCGTTCTTCATGGCTCTCCTTTCTGTCTTTCCCTGTTATTGACAGGACTCGGTGGCCTTGCAGCCTCCTACTTAAACCCAGTGAAGTCCCTGGTGCCACAGATGCCAAAGCTGCTGAAGTCTCTCTTCCCTGTCCGCGATGACAGAAGGGGCCGGCAGTCATCTCCCCTTGGACCTCAGGTGAGGGAGCCACAGCGAGTGTTTTTCTGATAGATTGCTGGCGCAGTGATGTGCGCTCTAAAGCTGGAGGTGAAGGAACAGCAACAACGGGCATTAGAGCTGGGCTTTTAAACCTGGTAAAAGCTTGTGATAATTTCTCTTCCCGTGTCTTTGGAGGTAACAGCTATTTAAACTTATTGACACACTCCATCCTTTCTGCTTTTAAAAAAAATGCCAAGTGTGCTACTAATGTGATTTATGGTAATATCACTTAGAGCAACAATAGTAAAATTTATGAAGTGCACTTAGTGTTGTTTGTGTATTGCCAAGTAGAAAATGTAATTCTATTTTTAATTCTTGATTTCATTTTTCTTTTCAAATAATTTTACATCATGACTGTCCTTCCCTTTCAACCTCTGTCTCCTCTACTGTGGGTAATCTGCCTTGTCACTTAAAGTTGTCACTTGACTTGTTTCTTTAAAAAAAAAAAAAAATCTGTCCAGCAGTAGAATAAGAGTGAGAGAAAGTGTTGGAGCATTTTCCAAACAATCAAGGAGCTCCTTTCATGCAGTGGTGAGCGGGACCTTGCTGGAGAAGTAAGTCTCTAGCCTTGTAGGTGTTAGCTCAGCAGAAAATGATAAATGAAGATTTATTTATACTTATTCAGAAACAAACAGGATGGGTGCAGTTGTTGAAATAGGGTCTTTTGACATCAGCTCCTCCATATCTTAAACTTTAGAGTTGCAGAAATGTGGTCAGTAGTTGTCTGAGGTGTTTTCTAAGAACATTGTGTGAATGCATCTTTGAGAGACAGAGTTGGTTTTAGAAAGGTGCTGTGCACATAACTTTCTTCAGCCTAGTACAGCATAAGCACAGGCCCAGACATGCAGTGGATGAGAGCAACAAGGACGTTTGGAAAATGTTAACTGTACTTACCTACGCAGGACTAGGGGCGAGGCAGTTACCCAAGTGCATGCGTGACTGGAGGCTTAGGCAGGCAACAGTGATTTTCCCAGGGTTTGCACTGTGTGCACTAGACTGCCTTAAACTTGTTTGCCACTGTTTCATAAACTCAGGATTGCCCTGAGTTACCAAAGTAGCTTTAAAAAATTGTGGGGCTGGAGAGATGGCTCAGTGGCTGAGAGCACTGACTGCTCTTGCAGAAGACCCAGGTTCAATTCCCAGCACTCATGTGACAGCTAATAACTATCCATAACTCCAGTTCCAGGGGAATCCAACACCCTTTTCTGACCTCTGTGGGCACTGCATGACACAGGTGCACTTACATTCATGCAGGCCACACACTCAAATACACAAATAAAAATAATAAATAAACTATATTTTAAAATTGCAGCTCCTCAGCATACCCTGCTGACCCAGAGCCCACCGGGGATAGCCACCTTCTCCTCTGTATTTTAAGCACCAGGTTGACTCTGCGGTTAAAGTTGGAGAGCCAGTTTCTCAGTTGTTCATCAGTCAGTGACGGCTGTGACGCAGGTTGAAGGAAAGTAGAGTCATGTTCAAAGTCGTCAACTCGGCCTACCAAGGCCCAGTTCTTCTTTAAGTGACTTTAGCTTTTCATGGAGCAGGCCAAAGCACTTGCATGTGAGAGTTTATTCTGTTCTCATTGTTTCTATGGTAAGTGGTGAGTTCTGGATCAAAAAGGGGAAACTGTGTGATGGGGGAGAAAGGCAATTTGTCATGTCCAGGGAAAGTGACATTCTCCTAAAGTGTTGGAAGATCTCTGAGCGGTTTTTCTACATTTAAATGCATTTATTTTTTAGTACACAGGAGCAGAGGTGCCGAGGAGACTGACCTTGTTCCATAAACATCTGAAAATGCAGACTTAACATTGGCCTCTGCGAAGAGGCCTAGTAGTGGAGCTAAGACATTAGCTGTGGTTTGTGGAAACACCGCTCTGTGGAAGCTGTCTCCCTTTTCTTGGGGTACAGTCTGAGATTTCCATCTGCACAAAGCTGTCAGCCTCCCTCCTTCCAACTGTGTCCTTCTTAGCAGCCTTTCCTGGGCCCGTGTCCGTCATGCCCCCAGTGCAGGTGTCTGTCACAGTACGTTGGGCCCTCCACATTTATTTACTTTTAACTAGAGTCTTTCCCAGATGAACTCACTTAATTCCATGCCTTTAATTCTTTATAAAACATTGGACCTTGCATTAGTCTGTGTCTTGATGCCTTCTGGAAATGAGCAAACCTGTGTTTCTTTGGTGACTTACAGCACCTATGGGATCTGGGTGCACTTTCTTCTCTGCACCATGTCTATCTCATGAACACACAAAGCACATTTCATTCTCAAGCGTTTTTGGTACCTGCTTCTGTCCAGTGGATCGGCCCTGTCCACTCCTGGCAGGCCTCTTGGTGTTCCCAGCCGTGCATTACTTTCAGAGCAGTGGCTGTCTCCTTGAGCCAAACGGAAACAACAGCCTCCACCACACACACATTGTTGTCTTTTTCCTGGGAGTTGCGTGGTTTCTGTTTGTGGACCACCTCCCTCTAGAGTGTAACTCTGGTGGGCAGGGCTCACTGCCCTGAACCTGCCTGCTAAGTCAGAGATACAAAGTTGGCTCACCATCTCCTGTGTGCAGATGGCAGTATGACACTGTGGACTAGCGTCATTCAGTGTGGAAAGCACCATGTTTACAGGTAGAGGTGAGACAGTCACATCTAAGTGGAGACTTGAAGGGTCAAGGCATATTTATGAACTCTCTTTCCTAGAGGTGATAGAAATTCCACTACAGAATTCCCAAAGGAGAAAACACCCCCCCGTCTCTGTCTCTCCCTGTGTGTCTGTCTTTCTCTGTGTCTGTCTTTTATGTTACTCATCCCGTCCCCCCAGACTGAACCTCAGCCACCGAGCCACCTCCACTGCAGCCCTCTCACTTTCACTGTCTGCTAAAGCTCTATGAGATACAAATTATAATTGTGAATGATAGTGTCAGCATTAGTTTTCTCTTAACTTGGGTCACTTAAAATGTGCAGTGTGTTGCTGTTCCGAGTAGGGTTGCATGCTCGGAAACGGAGCACTTCAGCGAGCAGGAAAGCAGGAAGCAGAGAAGCACAAGTGCTAGGTTCCTTTGTGTTTCACCGTGGGGACTCCTCCTCCTCCTCCTCCTGAAGCAGTACTTTCACCTGTGGCCTTTCCTGGCCTCTCAGAGTGCCAAGCCTCAGCTGCTCTCTGTGACCCCTTCACACTTTCAACACCAGAACCATGCAGGAGACTCTTACACATTACCAAGTCCTGCTTCCAGCTTGAAATAGAGGTGCGGGTCCCCTCAGTGTGCTGACCCTGAGGAAATACCTCCCAGAAGACTTCTCCTCAGTGATGCTGGTCTCTTGTTACTTACAGCTGATTTTTCAGCCCCAGCTAACCAGCATCAATTGTTCCAGTAAAGCAAAGGTTTTACTTCAGGTTCTGGTCTCTTCTTAATCACAGGTGATTCTTCAGTTCCAGTCAACCAGAACCCACAGATTCTCAATCCAAAATATCACATGAACAGCCCTGATAGTCTCTGCCTACCTTTGAAGCTTCACAAGCCAGGCCTCCATCGTCTACAACTCTTTTGGCATAACTGTTCCAAGCTCCACAGCAACAAGCACACAATAGCTTTTCCAACTCAAAGTTCCAAACACTTCCACAGTCCTCCAATGTCAGGTCTGTCACAGCAGTGCCCCACTGTCTGGTACCAATTTCTGTTCTAGTTTGTCTCCATTGCTCTGACAAAACACTCTGACCACTACCAACTTGGGGAGGAAAGGTCTTATATCTCCCAGGTCACAGTTCATTAGGGAGCCCAAGGTAGGAACTCAGGGCAGGGCAGGATCCTGGAGGTAGGAGCTGGAGCACAGGCCATGGAGGAACGCTGTTTACTGGGTTGTTCCCCTGGCCCCTGCTCAGCCTCCTTTCTTAATGCAACACAGGCCCACCTGCCCAGGGGTGGCACCACCCACAGTGGGATGGGCCCTCCTGTATCACTCAATAATCAAGAAGATGTCCCTCAAACATGGCCACAGGCCAGTCCAATGGAGGCCATTCCCCAGTTGAGGCTCCCTCTACCCAGGTATGTCACGTTGACACTAAAGCATCCAACACAGCTGCATCAGGGAGATGAAGGGACCGCACACTGTGGGCAGCTGTGTCACCAATCCTGACCCGAGAGTGAACTGAGCTCCATAACCATTGCTACACAGCCCCGTGGCCTACACAGGCCGCTCGCCTGCCCCATTGCTTTGCAGGCATCTCAGGGCATGCGCTGGACCAGCTCAGGGAGATGCGACCTCCTTGTGACTTTGAATTACCAGTACCTGAATAACTGATCATTCACTAAGCACAGGCCAATGTTTATAGAAGTTTAGAACGCCCTACAAGGTGGAACCTAGAAGAAGTACATCAGTGAACATGCCTGAAAGGGTCTACGTCAGTGCCTCAGTGCCACAGTGAAGGCAGGGTAGACACTGCTGTCAGTGTTGCGGGAGACCTAGAGATGGAACAGAGAGAGCAGTGCTACTGAAGGTTATGGTATAAAACGGAACAGACCAAGACTCAGACCTGGGCGATGCAGACCACGTCCAGCGAGTGTTCTTCCCACCCCCGGCCTGCTCCTTTATCATCTGAAACCATCTCTCCCTCCCTTTCCTAAGAGGAAAGGAATCGAAATGATTTCCTTTATTTCTATCCCAATATAGTTTAGAGACTTAAACCTCCTTTCAGACAATCCTGGTCATGGAAAAGTCCATCCCTCCTGGGTTCTCTTTGGAGCAATCAGAGGACACCTTGACTCTGGATGCTCTACAACTCCTGGGGGCAGTGGCATGAGGTGGAAGGATTTCAGAATAAACCCAAGATGCTTATGAGGAAGCTCTAGGAGCTGGTTGTAGCTTGACCTCACAGCTGCCAACACCACAGGAGGAGAGTGGCAGAGGGTGATTTCTCTGAGGTGGTGTGATAAGGGCCACAGGAGCTGGACCTGAAATGAACAGTGATGTAGAGACAGCAAGGCCCTGCCTAAA